AAATAAGCAGGCATTAGTTGTAAGAATTAAATATTTACCTTCCTTTGCTTAATTTTAGTCAACAGTTCCATGTTCGGTTTCACTAACGAATGTACGCTTGTTTCCTATAAAGCAAAGGTAAGCAAAATGGTATTACTACTATCAACGCTCCATCATGACGATGCAATTAATCCTGAAAGCGGAGAAGCAGCAAAACCGGAAATAATCATTACCTACAATTCCACAAAATGCGGTGTTGACTTGAACGATGCACTTCAGAAAAAATATTCTGTGTCAAGAAAAGCAAACCGGTGGCCTCTAGTAATATTTTATTTTTTGCTCAACGTGTCGGGAGTGAATTCTTATGTAATATACAAGGAAAACACTGTGAAAAAGATGAGGAGACAAGACTTTTTGGCATCACTTGGTCTTTCCCTAGTCTATGAACAAGGAAAACGACGAGTTTATAAAACAAACATTCCACAGTCCATGAAACTGAGACTCTGTGAATTGCTGAAGATAGAAAAGAATACAGTAAGTGTACCTCAATGTGCTTTCTGTCCATCAAAGAAGAATCGAAAATCTAAAACGTTGTGTTCAGTATGTAAAAGGCACATTTGCAAAGAACATACTACCGTAAAATGCAAAGAGTGTTCGGCTGTAGAAACTGGACATGAACATGATTCAGAATAAATAGACTAAGTAAAAGTTGCTTTATTCACAATTTGTTTTATTCTCTTGCATATTTGTATACCATTTATCTTTAGTATCTATTATAGAATGCTTTTATTTATTTAGAGTATGAATTTTTACCTTATTTTTTTTTATTTCTATTGATCTTATGTAAGAAAGTCTACAACTGCAAAAGTAGTTTGTAAACAAAATTGTGACACATTCTATAAATAAAATAAAATGTTGCAACAATGCTAATAAAATTTAGAAACATACAACGATGAACAAGATAGTGATACGGTATTGAGGGAATCCCCGCCGCGCGGGTACATTTGTTATTAAATGAGCGCGGGTACTCTGGTGTTAAACGAATTAAAGATCGAGAAGGAATCGAGGAATATTTGAGGTTAGATTGTTCATGTTCATGAAACTGCACAGTATAGCCACACTAAAACTTAAATACGCTACATAACCCTAACTAAACCACATTTTAAAGTCATTTTTTATGGAAATTATGATGATTAAACCTAAATTATTTTATTTGTTACTCAGTTGTAAACGTTGATTAACAAGACAAAACGCAAACGGGTAAACGTAATGTTTAAACGCTACTGACTTGTAAAACTGACAGCAGACCTGTAAAACTGACAGCAGACCTGTAAAAATTTTACAAGTTAGTAATCTAGTAATTTCATTGGCCAGAATTAATGCGAAGTCTCTGTTACATGGATCACATGATATTTTAGACATTTCTTCAAGATTAATTTAAGAACTAATTATTTACGTTTACAAATGAGTAACAAATAAAATATTGTACATTATACCTACGCCAGGTAATAGTTTTTACTGGCTCTAGGAGATGACAAGCTCGCCTAACGGCTCGCTAGTCAACTTCTCCTATCGCCAGTAAAAACTCACTTACCTGGCTAATAATGTAAAATACTATATCTATTTCCCATTTATAACCTTCTTATATCATAAGAATTCATTTACATATCAGTAGCTTTTCTAAATTGGAAGTTTGTATTTTGCCGCTCTAGATCTTTTTCATAACCATTGCAGGTTTCGATACTCGACCTAATACCGTCAATTGCCGGAAGGGCAGGACAAAAATGGTATATATAATAGTGTACAATGTAAAAAGAGCATAAATAACTTTCAGCTGATATTTAAATGTGGCAAAACCTGTTAGCTGGGGGGTCCAAAGTGTAGCGTAGCGTTAGCGGGCGCTAGCGCACGCGGCGACTTTGAATTTTGATGGGATAATTTGGGACTCCATTCTATACTAGGTATGGTTGAAAGTTTCTGTCACCTATTATTGCAGATTTTGTATGATGAATAACAGCGACACCAAATGCACTTCCTCAGAAAATCGCTCTCTACTGAGAACAAAATTGATGTATGAGCAGCAATTGCAACAAAACACTTCACAGACAGGTATCAAAGAATCCTGTATTTGGAATGGACTTGAAAATTTTCACTTGATTGATAACTATTCGGTTGATGTCATGCATCATATTTTGGAAGGGGTTTGCAATTATACTTGGAATTTTACAAAAACTTGTTATAGAATTTAAATTGTTTTCTTTAGATACTTTAAACTTTAGATTAAAAATGTTTAATTTTAGTGAATTGGAAAGTGGTAACAGGCCACCGTATTTAACCCCGGATTCCCTGGTGAAATTAAAAATGACAGCATCGGAGATGATGTGCTTTACTACATACCTTGGGGATATGATATATTGCTGTGTGCACCGGTCCGTAGGCCAAAAAGACCGCACACAACACATCTAAACAAACCTAGCTAGCTCAAACCCTTATATTTCCCGGAACAAAACTTCTCCCCTGCACGGAGGAGGAATTTGACTCTTTTCTCAGATAGTGGGTTAGACCAAATACCTTAAATTCCAAATCAATCTTAATAATTTTGATTAAATAAAATGGACCTTGGGCAAGTATTAAAAGAAAACAGTAAATTAAAGGAAATGAAATCGTTCGAAAGACAAACAGAAATTAATGTGAGAATTACAAATTTCAGTTTTAATGGTTACACAATAAAAAAAAAAACAAGGAAAACAAACAAAGAAAAAACTACAATTAAAACTTAATCTTACTTACATTCGGTACATGTCCAAAACTGCTAATCCCATATACGGTACACACAAACAAAAACAACAAATTTCAAAATTACACAAAAAACTCAAGTCGGCGCCGACCACACCTTGGTGACGCACTTCACTGAAGGTCCAAACTTCTAAAACTGCCGCAAACTCGGCTTTCCACTCCGTAGAACGGAAACTCCACCAGCTTCCAAAGCTGCTGGCCTCTACACAAACCAAACTACTGCGGTAACTCGCCGAAGCGAAATAAACAATCTTCACTCAAACCAAAAACTGCCCTGACTGGCAACAAACTGACGAAAACTTCAAAACTCCCAAAACAAAACTTCAAACTTCAACAAAATGCTGATTTCAAAACAAAGAAACGTAGTTCTGCGTTGACCCTGGCAAAAAGCCCTTCCTCTTTTCAGTCCGTTCTATTTAAGGTGGAAACCCTTCTTCCAAAATTACAAATTAAAACAGCCAATGATAAGCAGTTGTATGAGATATTGGAGTAGCAGAGTTTGCAATTTGCCTCAGTGAAACGTTAACTGTATATTAATAAAGATACAAAACTTGTGTAACTGTCAATCTATATTAATTCTGTACCTTGGAAAAACAAGGGCCAAACTCCACTCTCGTTGTTTTGTAATTGCTTATGTACGGTAAAAGTTCTTGTAAATTTTGTACCTTGGCTTCTGCCAAAGAAAGTGTTTCTGAATACATTGGTTTTAAATCTACCTTGATTGAACTTTCTCTTTTCCTTAAATTCCCTCAAAAGATGTTTTGTAATAAAATACGTACTCTTCTTCCCTTTTAAATTGAAGCCATTTGATTTTCATCCAGGGAATACATTCCCCTTGCTCATTTTTTTTCCTGTGAACTAATTTACTACTAAGCAACTCGCCGAAATAAAAAAAATCTTTCTGCTGCATTTCTACCACATCTAGTGGCGACTTTCTATACACTGTTTTAATAAAGTTATACCAGTCGTGCGGCACTTCTATATCCACAGTGGTTTTCTTTTTTGCGGTCTCAATTGCAGCATGTATTGAGTCTGCTTCCATATGTGTGTGTCCTGATTCTAAAAATTTGTGGTTTATTTCTACTATAGCACTTTCCGTTTGTTTTAATTCTTCCATGAGAACGCAGAACATGGTAATATGGAAGATATTTTTGTTTTGGCCTGTACAAGAATCGCTATAAAAATTTACAGTTTTGACTGCTGATGGCAAAGTGAACACAAATTTCCTAACACATGAAGCTATCTCCACACCTCCTCGGTTTGCTATGGTTTCGTCCCAAAGAAAGCACGTACCAGTACTTTTGTTTAGAGATGTACAATAAAAAGTAAGGTTAAAAGTCCATAACTGTCTTTTGTAAAAGGATAGTCCATTTTTTAAGTAAGGTGTAGGTAAACACTTTTCTAGATCGAATGAGGCTGTTATAACAGATTGATCAACTTTTGCAATATTCTTGTCTGCGCGTTTACTATTATAGGCACTTTCCGCCATGTCAAGGTGTTCAGATTTCTCTTTTTCTAATTTCTTCTTTTCTTCTTCTTGCTCTTGACTCAGCTCTGGAACGTTATTGATGGCTTTTAGCTCTTGATGAATTCTATCACATTTGCTGCAAGTGTCATTGGCAGGATGGTGGAATGACAAGTTATACTCTTCATTGAAGATCTTTCGGTATTGGCATTCTAATTGTGGAGGAATATTGTTTTTTTTACAATCCGTCCAGTACAGTCTATACAACTACGCAATCGATGTGTGGGCTTAAGTACTTTTTTGACGTTCTCTCACGGGAATAATGGCTTGTGTAGGCTGGAATGCTCTCTATGTGCCTTCTAATAGAGTCTTTGTCATTATTGCCTATCTTCTTGTGGGCCACGACCATCAGAAGGACACACGCCATTGTTTTTCCTTTTCTTTTCTATTATTACTCTCGCCTTCTTTAACGTTAGGTCAAAGGTACCAATATACATTTTTTGGCAAACTTCGATCCTAGGACCAGCTTGAGGCTGCAAATAATACCTCCTAGAAAAACTCCTTCTACTGCTTCCTTTATGCTCAGCAATAACTCTTTCTCTATTTTTAGAAATCTCTTCTACAGTCTGCGAAATAAACTGATCTTGGCCGTCTTTACTTAGTTTGTAAAACTCGTGAAATAAAAGTTGACGTTCTTCTTCGGTTATTTTATTATAACATTTTTTCTTGCATTGGCAGGGCTGTTTTAAATTCTTGGCGTTTATTTGTTTCCCCTTTTTCGTTGTATATTCCAACCCCCTTTCTCTTTTTTCCTTTCTTTGAGTCTGTGACCACGTCTTGGGCTGCTTAACACGTTTTCTGGTTCTATCTTCTTCAGCAGTCCTCTTTCTACCACCTCCAACCCTTTTTTTTTTCGGTCATCTGATCCATCATCTTGAAGCACATCATGTTTTCTGGTTGTATCCTCATCAGTTGTCATTCCGCCATCTCCAACTCTTCTTTTTCCGTCATCTGTTACGCTATCTTCAAGTTCACCATTTTCGTTTGATGTATTCATCTCCTCTTCATTAGGTACTTTGTCCTGATCGTCCGATACGTCTACTTCTCCCATATCCTCGTACTCGTCTACTGCTTCAAACCCATGCTAAAATCGCAAGGAAATGAAATTATACCTTAACACCGATATTGCGCATTTCACGACTTCTACTTACATTCTCGTCAATAGAACATAAAGGACTCTGTTGCTGCATCGTCACCAATTCCAAATAATCTCCATTTCGATCTTGTGGCTGGAATTCCTGGAAATCGCGGAAAAAAAATTGAATTGTTGTCTACTACTTATTTTTAATTCTATGTTCTAAAGAGTCGCACTGACTTCAATGAAAATGACTAAAATTATGGTATACTGTCGAATTATTTGTACGTACATTTGACTCCACAGGTACCGGTGGAACTGCCTGTAGGTCCATGAACGTTTCTAAAATAGTATCTCCTAATGGTGTTGACAGTAAGAGTTGCTGGTGTGTTTGATTCACAGCAGACTGAATACTGGACCCCTATGTTCAACAGTAATTACTGAACAAATCACAACTCTTTCTAAGTACCTAATCTTAATAATTGATCGAGCAAGCAAATAAATTATAAACTTCACAAAGTGGTATACTATTATTTAGATATTTACACATATCAACGCCGGTAAAACTTCTATAAGGCTGGAATCCATCTCTGCAGAAGTACTAACCTGGTCTATAGATTCTGTAGGAGAAAAGTTAAAAATAAGTTTACTTATTAATTTAAAATGTTTCCGCTTACCGTTGCGATTCCCACATTTCATAGCTGATAATTTAAGAATTTCTTTTGTTCTTTTACTGCACATTTTGAACTAATGCACTTGCACAACCACAACATGAAAGTTAAAATTGCAAAATGTACCTGTTGCACGTGTTTACCCATTCGCACTTGCGTATAGCTAGTTCGTTATTAAATAGGCCAATGTCCACTTTAATACAAGAGAACATAAGGCCAATGTCCACAATAAATGGAGTTTGGCCCTTTTATTTGGTTTCATACATAACAACCTTAAGGCCAAAGTGGGAAATTGGCCATTTTAAAATTGAAGCTAATAGTCACATTGGCCTTTAAGAAGTAATTTATTTTAGTAATGACATGTTCTAGGAGATTGGCCTCTTTTACACATAAAGGTAGAAAGCACATAAGTATAATAGTGTTATAAACTTCAATTCAAAATGGTAATTTTGGAGATTGGCCCTTTTTCTTCCAAGGTACAGAATTGTGACAACTCTAACTCACTTCATCTACAATGTACAATGTGACTCGCTATCCACATTCCAACAAGTTGCCAACAGAAAATATCCCCCCTAACGCACGTTAAACCAGAGGTAGAAATTATTTTTATAACCAATTTTTAACCGACATTAAGAGATAACACAAAATTAAAATACTAGGAAAAATAGAATTTTCTATCTTTTAAATACAATGCAAAGGCGATAAATAACATCCACCTGTCAATTAAATTAAGCGTTTACAATGATAACAGAATAAAAGCGATATAAAATTCTCAGAAATCTACCTTAAATAAAATCAAAAATGAGATTAAAATGTAAACACTACAAACCTTGACCTCTTTTTCGTAACAATAATTTCTGTTGATGTACTTAACGAACGATATAAAACAAAAATTTAAATTTAAAAAAATTAATTACATGGAAACCGCCCTTGTCCATTCTAGTTAAGAATCCCAAAATTTCGTCCTGCCAGACACACACACACACACATCCCGCTATCATTATTGCGTCCGTACGTATTTGTACTTTATTGCGTCTCCTAGAACGGATAGGAATTCTTAAACTATTGCCGCGAATGTTGGTTTGGAATCGTATGTCGTGGCTAGAATCGTAACCAGATTTCAAAAATTCCCAGTATTTCGATATACGAATTTTCAGTCATATTGAATCATTCGTGCGTCCTTTCATATGCGCCATTGTCGCGCCCGTATATGGATTTCGCCGTATATTATTGCGTCCTGCAATGTTGCCAATGTTAATGCTCAGTCATTCCTCGTCTAATCACATATTCAAGAGGACGTTGATCCGGCAGGAATTAATTTAATTATACGAGTCCAATTGCTTTTCCTTGTAAAGGTGTGGAACTTAGTATAAAATTTTGATTTTGGTTTTTGTCGACGTATGTCTATTGTCATTACTTGTATCGAATTTGTAAGGTAGAAGTAAATAATTATAAATAAATGAATGTTTTCTTATAAGTTATTGGTGATCGATTTCGCTTTTATTTAGCATATTCGGACCTTAGCGTCAATTAATTAAGGTCCGAAGATGCTAAATAAAAGCGAAATCGATCACGTATAAGTAAACATTCATTTATTACTATAATTACTTACTTTTACCTTATCTACAAATAAAACAATTTTATTGAATAAAATCTTTTGAATTTTTACATTTTCGCAGATCAGCTCGGGGTTACGGAATAATGCAAAAAAATAAAAGTGTACGCTTGCAGTTAAAATTTGTTTTTAAATGCTGGAAATAGTATAAGAGACGTCACGTATCAATTGAACCTCCCCAAGTTAATATTTACAGCCATTAAAGGGGGGTCAGCTGTTAACCATCAACCAAAAATATTCAAGGCGAAATTTAATTTGTTGATAACCAAATACAACCTTTTAAGTTAAACCATTTTAAAGAATAGAATTTTTTGGATTGTTACATTTTCGGAGATCAGCTCTGGGTTACGGAATATTGCAAAAAAATTAAAGTGTACGCTTGTAGTAAAAATTTGTTTTTAAATGCTGGGAATAGTATAAGAGACGTCACGTTTCAATTGAACACCGCCAAGTTAAAATTTACAGCCATTAAAGGGGGGTCAGCTGTTAACCATCAAGCAAAAATATTCAAGAGCGAAATTTAATTTGTTGATAACCAAATACCACCTTTTAGGTTAAACCATTTTATCGAATAGAATTTTTTGAATTGTTACATTTTTGGATATCAGCCCTGGGTTACGGAATATTGCAAAAAAATTAAAGTGTACGCTTGTAGTAAAAATTTGGTTTTAAATGGTGGGAATAGTATAAGATACGTCACGTATTAATTGAACCTCCCCAAGTTAATATTTACAGCCATTAAAAGGGGGTCGGCTGTTAACTATCGACCAAAAATATTCAAAAGCGAAATTTAATTTGTTGATAACCAAATACCACCTTTTATGTTAAACAATTTTATTGAATAGAATTTTTTGAATTGTTACATTTTTGGAGATCAGCTCCAATATAATTAAACTTATCTGGACGCAACAATGTACTTTCCGAATGGAGAGTATAATAATTATCCTCACTTAAGATATAAAAAGATGATTATCTTATCGAAATGATGTCTATAAATAGCTTACAGTGTTGCCACATGTTGGACGCAATAATATACCAACTTTGTAAAACGTATACTTGAAAGCGTATACTAATTTACCGCCCCTAGCTGCAAAGTGCTGAACTAAAAATATACAACTTCGTACGTATTGCAACTATTATTGCGTCCACTAAAAATTCGTTATCTTTTAATATCTCGAAAACGGCAAGAGATGTCTCAAAGCTGGTTTGTGCTATAGGAATCTGTTAAACCGGTCCATCCTTCGTTGATAGTATTTGAATGATAAAATGGCGGGAACATGGAAATACAGGCGATGCCTTTATTGCGTCCGATATTCGGACGCAATAGTTCGAAGGACGCAATAATGATAGAATGATGTGTGTATATATATATATATCGAGGGCTTCAGGTCAGAGAGGCGTATCAACCATTTCACTAATTTTACAGGAAATGAAAAAAACGTTTTAAAATTCTATTTTTTCATTATGACGTATGAATTTCATTAAACTATTTGTTTGAATAATAAAATATATGCATGTAAAATTTTAGGTCATTTTATTAAAAAAAATCGAAAATATGGTCTTTACGCCTATGTGGTTCAACAGCGTATATGCCAATGCAGTTAAAAGAAGAAGGCGTAATACATTTTTTTTTATTTTAATTCGAAAGAAATACAAAAAAATCGCCACAAAGAAATCATTTTTTTTGCAAGTAACGCTCCTTCATTACTTGAAGTGACACTTCATCTTCTGAGTCGTAATCCTCACTATTGGTGTTACCTGCTTGCACTGGAAGTGATCTATAATATTGGTGGTATTGACGAGGAATAATTTTGTCTTTACCATGGCACATTTGCTGCAAATCATTAAATTTTTTTTTCTGAATTGGGATTTGGTCAGTGTACGCCTTCTTCATCTCATAGCTTGAATTCCTGGCTGTTGGCTTTCTTCCTCTGCGTCCCGTGTTTATACGTTTGAACTCTTCTTCCCAGTATTCACTTTTATATTGCATTACATTAGGTTGTTCCTTGTCAAATCTCAACCATTTTACCTCTTTCCAACTGAGAATACTACCATCATCAGCTTTCTTTTTGTTTACCATGATTTTCCCTTGCAAGTCCTTATAATCAAGAAAGTCATCGTGGTGCAAAACGCTTACCTTAAAAGGGTTTTTTTTATTTGACAAAATCACAATATTTATCCAGTCATCTGGCCAAAAAATTTTCGACTTCTCAGACGCTCGTTCTATGGCAGCGTGCATGGAGTCGCACTCCATGTGCGTATGGCCTGGTTCTAAGAATTTCAAGTCGATAATTTTTAGATGTGGTACAAGACATACTGCTTGTTGTAACATGCACGCAACAACTGCATTTCGATTTTGCCCTGGACAACAATCTGAATACAGCACTAGATGTCGGACAGTGTTAGAAATACTGTGGATAAATTTATTTAAGCAGGTAGCAATTTCATTGGAACCTCGATTTCCTTCGAATTCCGTCCAAATGTATGAATGGCCCTGTCTTTTTGGTACTTCATAAATCGTAAAATTAAATGTTGCTAATTTTCTTTTGTAAAAAATTGGTTTTGCATGAAACAGTGGACTGTACAGCACCGCTTCCAAATCAAAATTGGCCGATAAGTACGTATCATCTGTTTTGGACTTTTCAGAATCTTTTCTTTTCTCTTCATTTGCGGCACATTTTCTACGAATGTGAAGATCAAATTCGGCTTGCCTGTCTGTTTTTTGATCTGCAGGCAATTGCTCAAAATGGTGGCACCAGCATTGATCCTTTTTGGGTTTATGAAATCCTATATTTTTTTCAATAAGAATCTCTTTATAGTTGGTGCGTGATATAGGTTTTTTTTTATTTGTAATACAGTGCTCGAGGTACAAGTTGTACATTTTTTCTTTGTTTAAGATTGTTTCCAAATACTCCTTCTTGGTATCTCTCCGACACCAATGAGCTGGAACTCTGGGAAACGAGTCAATGTGGTTGATTGCGAACACGATTTCATCTTCTGCATGTTTGTTAGCAGGTGTATGTCTACCTCTTTTATCGGGGGAGGGAATTCCTGCAGCGTTTCGAGCTGATTTTTCAACGGAAGTTCGAACCATTTTTTCGGAAATATCTAAAGTTTGCAGGAAAAAGTATTTACATACTTGATGCTCTGTTCCTCCTTGAAGAAGCGAAAAAGTTTGTGAGAATTTTCTTCTCGAGCTCTCCACTCGACCTCGTTCAGCAAGTTGGCGACGAACACGAGCTGCAATGAAGTCACGTTGTCTGCTCAAATCTTTCATATCCCAAAAGCTCTTTGATATTGATATTTTATCTTCATCTCGAATTTTTAAATGACACTCGCGTTTGCATTTACATGTTTCACCAAGGTTTTTTGGTCTTCTCTCTCTTGCAACTTTTCCTGCCGTTGTCAAGTAGCTTTCTCCTGCATTTCGTTTATTTTTCCGTACATTTTTCTTCCACTGCTGTGGAACCTTTCGTTTTGCCCTCTTTCGTTTTCCACCACCACTGCTCTCATTATCTTTTGCATTTTCTTCTAATTCTGTTTCATATTCGTCTTCATTATCTTTTCTAATATTTTGTTCAAATTCAGTTTCATACACTCTTTCCTTGTCTATTCTTACACTACCTTCAATTTCAGATTCACACTCATTTTCATCCATAGCAATCATTTCAGTTTCAAATTCTGTTTCATACACACCTTCATTGTCCATTCTTATTCTTACATCTTCAATTTGCGTTTCATACTGATTTTCATCCATAACAATCACTTCATTTTCAAATTCACAAGGATCCGGTCTCATCTCTATTAACTCTAAACAAATTTAATTTAGAAAAATAGGTAATTACTATGATTTGATAATACCAGTTATGTGGCCATCAGTGTTCTTTGATGGTAATTCTATGTTTGGCCGCAATCCGACTTCAACTAATGATTTATCTAGATCACTGGTAGTTTCAACAAAGGTGCT